AGAACAAACTCATCAGGAAAATACTTTTTGTCTCTGAGTTTTTCTAAGAATACCTCCAAACCATATCAATTTTTTAAAAAAGCCCAGAAGCTATTAATTTCGTTTTTGCATTTTATGTTGGTTCACTATAAACGGCGTTTCACTGTTCAAATTGTTGACGCCAAATATTAGAGCCCTGCATTATATTTAAAGAAATTAAATAATGAAGAATCTGCATGAATGTATATGTTTCTCGCACTGTGAAAAAACAACGGTAGTTAGAGACATCGAATTCTGAATAATGTAATCCTCCACTCCGAGACCCAGTGGCCCAGTGGCGCAGTGGCTAGCGCATCGCGCAGCAGCGCCACAGAACCCCGGGCTGGGCAAGGTTGACTCAGCCTTTCATCCCTTGGGATCGATAAAATGAGTACCAAGTTCTCTTGGGGACTAAACACTGGGGGTCCTGAGACAAGTTGAGCACTTGTTCAGGGCATATGCTTACGCACCCCGGGCCCCACGATCAAATAAAGCCGATCTCGGAGCACTGCAGGCCTTGGCCATTAGGGCTGTTTGCGCCACTGAGTTTAGTTTTTTTTTTAGTTTAGTTTAATCCTCCACTCCAATATGGGCGTCTGGAAGCCCAAATTTGGAATTTGGTTTTATTATCTATTTCATATTTTGTAAAAAATTAAAGAATTTGTGATTAGCAAATTCAAAGATTTCAAAGCGACAAGAGCAAACTATACGGGAATAATAATAATAATAATCTGAAAGGTTTCAGATTTTAAATTACGTCCAATGGAGTTTTTTTTTTTTTTTTTTTTTTAGTCCAAAGGGATTTGAATCCCGAAGGACTATTAGTTTCGTTTTGGCATTTTGCGTCGGACTCATAAATGTCGGTTCACTTTTCAAACTGTTGCCACAAAATGTTAGAGTCCTGCATTATATTTGAAGAAATTAAATAATGAAAAATCTGCATAAATGTATGTATATTTCTCGTATTGTGATAAAATAACGGTACATAGAGTCATCGAATTTTGAATAACGTAATCCTCCAACGAATATGAGCATGTGGAAGACCAAATTTGAAATTTGAAATTTGTTTTATGATCGATTTCCTATTTTTTAAAACTTTGACGAATTTTTGATTAACAAACTCAAGGATTTCAAAGCGAGCAATGGCAACGTTGTGCAGAAAGAAAAAACATTTTTATCTCCAGCGCGTGAACTGTGTATCGAAAATTTCTCTTCAATTATTAAGCAGCTTTATTTTTTTTGAAAACGATTCTGTCTTTACGTACAATATCACGCAAAACATCGTAATTGCATTCGATAGCGGTCAAAATGGATATTTTCGTTGAAATATGCTGCCTGAAACTTTTTGCGATTACAATACTTCCTTTTTACTTCGTACAAGGAAGTAAAAACGCTATTGTAGCATACAGCAGAGTAAAAAAGTTACGTTTAGGCTTTGCATTAACGCTTATATATTTACTCCAAATAAATCAGCATTCGATTTGAAAAATGTTTGTTGGGAAAATTTTGTTGCCGTCAGCGAAAAGAGTATCGTTGTTGGTGGTATAGGGTCTGGGCATAATGAACGGAGAAGGGCCACATTGAACTAAACAACTTTCAAGCTTATGCTTGTATTTGTTAACTGCAGGTAACAGTACTCGCTCAATATGCTAGGATATGTTATCCTCCGTATGACTGTATCTTTTAAATATTTGTCTTCTTTTTAATACATCAGGGGATTGCTACTATTATTCTAAAAAAATCAGGGAAAAATATATCTATATATCGTTGCATGCTATTCGGTCCATAATCAATCTCCTGAGTAAACAGATAGAAAGGAAACTTGATTACGTGTTACAGTTCTAAAATGATAACGATTAATATAAATAAGGAAAAAAATGAAATGATAATTCAGCATTATTGAAGTTACGGCTAAATGAGCTACAAAATAGAAATAAATAATAGAAGATTCCGTTCTAAGAAACAAACGATAATGAGGACTTTGGTCTCAGAAATTCTTATTTTAAAATACATCTAAGGTTATGTTTGAGACCAATTTAAGATTCGAGATCATATTTAAGAATACTGGATTTAAAGGGTATCCCGCCTACGCTCTCTCTCTGTCTGTCCCTTCATTCTCCATCCCGGTTCGAATTCCAAATTCCATTCGAGTGCGAAGAAAGTAACAATCATATAACTGTTTCACAGCTAGCAAACACGTACTAAGTTAATTTAGTCTTTTTACCGCTTTAATGTATATTATGCAAATTTCCTTTTTCATACCTTTCTTAATGTTTCATTTTAGTCCTATGAAAATATACTTCTGTACACCTGTTGTTTTCCTTGTTTAATTGTTTTTACAAAGTTTGCATTGTTTTAATATGATCAAAGGCGAAAGTGTGTGTGTGTGTGGGGGGGTAATTTTGTCAAATAAGAAAATAAAACTCAGTCTTATAAGAATTATATATTCCAATATAAAGGCTGAATTTAAAACTTGACAGAACCGCCAATTTCTCACTGATTTTTAATTAGCAATTTGAATAACTTAATCTTACTAAAAAGGCCTTTTCAGTCATCATTCTTACTTGAGAATAAAACGAAACACTTTCACACTTATTAATTATTGTTAATTGATCAGAAGTTAGTTTGTTCCTCTCGAAAAGTCAACTGATTTCTGGTCAGTAACGATAATTACTGTTGTTTGCATTTTCACTTTTCACGTACTGTTGTTTGCATTTGTTTCGTTGTTGGTTGCATTTTCACTTTTCATTGTAATAAATTATTTTAATACTTTGCAGCTTTAGAGCGGGTATTAGGCAATTTATTACGAATAATTAACTTGCACACACACATACATATATATGCGTGTGTGTGTAACATCAATAGACTTAAAAGTAAGAATATAGATCCATAATGAAGAGCAAACTAAGCAGCCGATTCAGATTAAATACTAATCTTTTTTTTCAACTGACTTTGCAGCCACAATTCGCTTAAAACACTAATCGTGCCTTCTTCAGAACAGTTACACCCTAAATATTGCTGTGTTTGGAAGAACAGCATCAATCAGCATCTTAGCGAGAACACATATAGAAGCCAAGTGCGCAGTTATCCAATATGGAAGATCACGAAGAGAAGGTTTCGGTTTAAGTTGCTTACCAAGAGAAAGTTTCGGTTTAAGTTCCGAATTACTTACGTCATCGGCGTTATTAAGTCATATGTATGGACTGATTTAGTTAACTAAACTTAAATTTCTTACCATATATATGTATGTGTAATGATGGCAAGCAAAACACGGAGCAGCGCCGATGCGTAATACCTAGGTATTACAGATCGTAGATCCATATTGAAGAGGAAGAATTCTGATTGCGTAGTATGTTACTATGTTGACTTTGTAATATCTAAAAAAACTTAACAGTCGAGGGGATTTTAATTCCATTTTTATTTGCAACTGACATTCGTGGCCACAGATCACTTGGCACTCTAGTCGTGCCTATTCAAGGAAATTTACATTTTTGATACTTTTGCGATAGGAAAAGAGCAGAATGAAACAGCATATAAGCGACACAGAGGCAAAAGCTAAAGTGCGTAGTTATCCAATATGAAAGCACACGAAGAGAAAGGTTTTGGTTTCAGTTAAAAGTTTCAGTTCCTAATTATTACGTCATCAGCGCTGAGCAGGCCATGCAAAAATGGAATGATCTAGAAATGATGCAAACCAGAGAAGTTATTACGGTTTTTAAAACAGAGAGGGAGAATTAAAGGGTTACCGTTAGTTTAAATTATAATTTTGATTCACATATTTTTATATGTTACTGTGAAAGACCGAAATCTGGAGAATGTCGGCATTCTCCTGTGAAAGCCAGCATTCACCGAGTCGCTTGGTGTATGTCCAAAATAAGATTTTGCTAAATATCCTTATTCCTCTCACTTACACCGGCAAATGTCACCTTTTTCGCCATGCAATGATGATGAATGTTGAATAAAAATATTTTTTTACGCTTTTAATCATACTTTATTATTAAAACACGTTACGATATATGTCAAAAGTGGAAAAAGATGAAGTAACAGCACATGTAAATAAACTGTTGAGCGTATAGTGAACAGTACATTGTGAATGAGAAAGGAAAATAACACCGATAATACACTTACTTAATTATTTGATTGACGTTATACACTCTTATTTATTCTTATTTATTGCTAAAACAACCGGTGATGGTCCAAATGTATAAGAACAGAACCAAATATTCGCTCTTTCACCAACGTATTTGGAAAATGTCGATATTCTCCAATATCGGTCTTTCACGGTAACATATATATTCCATAAATAACTTTCCTTATTTTATTTTTAAAAAAGCATACATTATAGAAATAATATCTGCTAGGAACTTCTAACTTACTGAAATGATTCACTTTCATATAGCGGCTTTATTGCGCATATTAAAAACACAATAATTCTTAAATTGATTCCACTTTATTATAAGAAAAGGACTTCTAGGTAAAATAACCTATGCTCAAATGTGGAGCTCAGTTTCAATGAGAAAAATTTCTAACTTACGAATTCCTTGATGCACTGAAATAAAATGATTTATTTACATATTAAAAATTTTTCATGATATGATTCTTCAAGTTTCTAGTGATTCTAACGATATAAGTTCAAATGTCAACAATTCTTCAACTTGTTCCTTCCGTTAATAAGTACCTTTAAAATATTTAGCACAATAATGTATTGGAACTGCACAGAAATGTACTGAAGAATGTATTGGAATTAAAACTCCTTCCTGTAAATAACCTATCAAACTTATGAAATAATATTAAATATTATTCACACAAAGAAATTTTATTAAGATAACAGGAATTAAATTTTCATTACATGTATTACGAAAAACGTAAACAAAATATAGTATAGATGCTATACATTTCAAAAAGGCCGCTAAAGCTTCTCAAATGATGCCACATTTTAAAACAAAAATATAAACGTGATGATGAATATAAAAGAAACTTACCTATGACGCTAAAAACGAAAGTTATGACAATCCACATCTCGGAGATCAAAGATGAACAAATTTGAAATTTTTAGATAGTTAAAATTCAAAACTTTGATAGCAGACAACTTTGAACACGTGGTTCTCCGTACGTCTGGCGAGTCAAGTATTCTAGAGGTTTGGGGCAGAAAATGTATTGTGAAAGTTGCTGACTTGTGAACTCTAACCTCATTCGTCCAAGGAGAAAAAAAAAAAACAGAACTTTAGACTTTGTGTAAAGTCAGAGTATCGGCAGATAGAGTGCAATGTGCTTTAAATAAGAAATAACGAAACGAAGACTGACAAGAATCGCACTTGATCATTTACTCCGGCACGGGAGTAGGGTTGCCGCAAAGAATAATTCGAAATCCGAAATCTTAAGAAAAGAATCAGCTCATCATTAAATAATTCTAGTAATATTCATATATGTGTTAAAATGAAAGAGTTAAAATTGCCAATAAAAAATTGAATAAATTCTTATTATTGATAACGGAGTTGAAATAACAATTAACAATCTGTACTTATCTGTAACGGCGAAATTTTTTTGTCAAGAGTTCCAATCAAGATAAAATGAATTTCTTTTACCGAGCTTCAAGATGTAAAATTTTAACTATTATATTTTTCAGCAGTTTGTCTTTCCTCGCTCTGTGTGAGAAACTTATTAATTTATGGGTGATTTTTGAAGGATAAAATAAGAAATATTATCCTATATCATACAAACTGACTGCGCCAAAATGAGAGATAACGTTATATTTTTGGTGGCAGACAATTTCGTGTCATCACATGTGACGTCATATTACAGAATCTTCGTTGCCATTCGTCACGCATAAATAGAAACCGGTCTACCATTGAATTTTGGTCGAATAACGGGATGGCCGGAATGTTCGTTTACTTTTTTGTTTAATTCCTTCTTTAATCTTCGCGCTTCCGTAAAGAAGAATGAAGCATTAGTAAAAGAAACAAAAATGTAGTAGTAAGCGAAGGTTAAACTTTCACTGTTAAGCAAGATTTCGTTTAGGAGAATCGTAATATTCTTCAGTGACAGAACACTTTTTTGTTATTTATTGATTTTTATAAGAGATTTATTCAAAGGTAATCCATGAAAAAACTGGATCAAAGGAATAATTATATAATTATTAATAATAGAAGGAATATTTTTTAGGTATAGATATATAATTATTATAATTAATTATAGATTACCAGTTTCCGATTCATTTTTTCTCTAATCGTAGAAAAGTATTAGCTGTTTCAAAACAACACATCATTAAATTTAAATTTCAAAATTTGTTTCTCAAAAACGAATTCACATAACACTTTGAACAAAGATATAAAGTAAGAAATTTAAATGCGCGAAAATACTAGTCATGATTATGTTTTTAAAAATTGTTATATATATATATTTACTAAAGTAATATTGATTATATTATCTCCTAATATAATAAGCTTTTACTCGGTCTTTATTTTCGTGACTCTTGATCGTAATATTATACTTCCAATTATAGAAGTGCTTCAAATAACGAAAGTATTCATGCTTTGACAATCTCAAATTAAAAAAAATAATAATTTTCAACAAATAGCGAAATCTAATTTTTAATGTGGTCTCCTCTAATACTTAGGAAAGTTTTATACTCGTTATGAAAATAATATTATAAGAAGTTTCCGCAGGTCAAAAATTGAGACCGGGATATTTAATTTCAAAATTTGTAGCTTTTGCTATCATTTTTAGCTTGCCTTCAGGGATCAGCTAATTAAGTTTGAATAATTCGAGGACATAATATTAAATGAAGTGCAGCAAAAAATTTAAAAAGCCGTATAAGAAAGTCATGTGGTGTATCATTATTATTATTATTTACGTGTTTCGCCCTAAGGCACTACAAGGAAGGGGGGATGCCTTCGTGGAGTACTACCTAAGGAAAATTACACACAAGGAACACGTTACACATAAGGAAAACCACGAAAACGCCCATGAAGCCAGCCCGTTCAAGGGATTCGAACCTCGGATTGAACTACCAGTGTTAAGGGGCTTTACCGCTCAACAGCTGGTAGGCCTAGTCATGTGGTACACGCGCCAGATTTTTTCTGGCATTATTTTTCTTGAAATTTGCCTATGGTACTCCTCTTAAAAATTCATAATTTGTAAATATCTTCTGTGTTTATTGTTGCAGGATTGTTTATTCTAAATGTAATTTGATTTAAATAAAAACACATAATTGATTTACTTTTAATTTATTTCTATTTTCCTATTTAACTGAATCCGTAATGGCCCACATTTGTTTTCAGACACTTTTATTTTTGAAATTTATATACTTAGATCTTATCTTAAATATTGAAATACAGACTTTTTCTAATATATTATTTTTTCTCACTTTCAAACCTTACTGATTACGAAATAAATATCATCAAAATACTCCTTAAATAAAATAATTTATTCAGAAAGTTTTAGTTGGCAACTCACATAATAAATTGGGCACTTGAAACTTCAGTTTAGATGTTTTTGGCAGATAAAGTTTCTTGTCATAATTTTTATTATTAAATTCCTGCTATTAGCTCACACTCTCCCTATATCTTGTTCAAATTTTCAGTCGTTAATAAAATACTTTTTATTCATCCACTCAAGCTCAAATACATTTTTTTAAACTTGTAGTGGATGGCACTTGATGTTAATACAGTTTTTTACATATTAAAAATTTTTTAAATACATATTAATATGTTTTTAAATTTTTAAATATATATTAAAAATCTAAATTAAAAAAAATATATATTGAAATTTTTTTAAATTTTTAATTAAAAAACTTTTTTTGTATTTTTAAAATTTTTCTATGTTGACCTAAGTAGGAATTGACTTTAAAAAATTATTTAATTAATTATTAATTATTTAATTTTCATTCGTTAATAAAATACTTTTTATTCATCCACTCAAATTCAAATACATTTTTTAAACTTGTAGTGGATGACACTTAATGTTAACACACTTTTTTCACATATTAAAATTTTTAATTAAATTTTTTTTTTTTTTTTTTTTCCCCCCCCTCCTTGTTGACCTAAATAGGAATTGACTTAAAAAATTTTTGTTTATATTACTTGCTTGTTTTAAATGAAAATACATTACAAGAGTTATCGTCTGCATTTGGAAATGATTACTTGTTTCGTAAAATATATTAAAAATTCTATATCGGAATTGAACATACCAAGATGCTACAAACTAAGGACAATTTCTTTTAGAAGTTTAACTATTTATCATTTTAAAGGTGTTAAAAGTGTCCGAAATATCCAATGATATAAAGTGTCCAAGTATCTTTGATGTTATAAAACAACAGAAATTGCGTGAAACTGTTTAAAATGCGCTGAACTCTGGACTACATTAAAAAGTCAGAGATTTATCCTACAAAAAATCAAACAAAACCCAAATATTAATGCTGCGAAACTGCAGCGGATTTAGAAGAACGAAAAATTAACCCTGAAACTGTTAGAAGAATCATTAGGGCACATGGCTACAATGGGAGAACAGCAAGAAAGGAACTCTTGGTCAACAATAAGGCAAGGGAAATGAGTCTGGAATTCACAAAATATATGGTAAACAGAGATTTATGTTATTAAAACAATGTTATATCTGTAGATAACTCACATTTTAATACATTTGCATTCGATGGAGGAATTAATGTGTGGCGAAGCTATTGGAGAACCAAAAGCTCTGTCGAAAGATTTGATGACAAGAGAAATGGGGTGAGAGACCCTAGGATACATTCCCAGGGTCTTCTCCATCAGAATTGGAACTTACGAGTGTAAAATAGGTTGACGCCAGTGTTGCACCTTGGGTAAAGTTCTCGGTGAGAAACTGGCTAAATGACCAATGGGCACTGATTATTCCATAAGAATGCAATAAATTGCAAGTGTGAGTTATAATAATATACGGCGAATATACTTGCTCTGGGGTAAGGGATGAGAAAAAGGCTTAGAAGAACGTCCGGTAATAATAATATGATAATTATTAAATGTATAATTACTAACAATTGGTTCAAAAGTAAAAATTAATGTCTTGCGGTGACGTCGGAGTTTTAGGAATCACTGACCTAAAAAATGCAAGATTGCATTTCCTAAATTTCTTTAATCTTTAGCCCAAAAAGGGCGATTAGTATAGAAATGGGATTTTACGTGGAATCACTATAAATGCAACCTATCACTTTGTATTCGAGTCTGTTATCCTTCGGTGGATTGCAATATTTCTAATTGAAGCTGTCTGTTCTAATTGAATTTGTCTAATCTATTTTAAAGCAATAGATGCAGTTCTTGAGAATATTAGTTTCTTATTTTGAGTGGAATTAATATGTTAATTAATAAAAATGCCTTTAATTCACGATCTATCTAATTAAAAATGTTCGATAATTTCATAGAATGACGTTATGCATTTTTTTATTACTTATTTCATATTTTGTGAAATTTTAATGAATTTCTATTTAACTAAGTCAACGATTTGAAAGCGAGCAGTGACAACACTATACGGAATAAAACACATTTATCTCCAACGCACTAGACTGTCTGTCGGAAATTCTAAAGATATGCCGTCTTTAAATATTTTGTGACTTTCTTGCTGAATTGAATTTTATGTGGCGTAAGTTAGAAAAAAATAATATTTTATATGTAAAGTTAACATACAAAACGTTGTAGAGACATTAGGCAAATTTTGGAAGCAGAATAGATGAAAAATTAGGAACGCCTTCGCCGGGCATCGAACCACGGACCTCTGAAATACCGGCCCAGCGTGCAGAACCACTACACCACGAAGACAAGCTAGGAAGGCGGAAGAAATACTTTATAGCGTTAATAATAAAAAGACACAAAACTTTAATAATAAAGAGAGAAAAAAAGTTTAATTAGCCATCCTTTTTAAGAAAACATGAAGTGAGAACTAAGAATATTGATATGTTAAATGATAAAAGACTGGAAAAAAAAAAAAAAATAGAAAAATGCATGCCAGCACTTCACACTACATCGGGAATTCCAAACATATGCTACTACTTTTAAAATTTTTGTGATTTTGCTGTTGATTTTGTGTGCTGTAAAAGAAGCAGAAGTGCAACAGGAAGACTGCTAAACTATGACCTCAAAGTGAGCGTAAAAAGCTCAAGAAATAATTTTGAGCGACATTTAAAATCTGAAACCTTTGAGACATTTTTAAAATTATTCTCTTCCCCTCCTTTTTTTCTTTCTGCTTTAGAAATTTAAAGTATAAAGCTCCTATTATTTTTAATGTGTTAAACTATTTACTAAATATAACATGCTTCAAAGAGTTTCTTATT